GTTCGCCCTGATTATGTTTCTTGTTGGTCAGCACCAAAGGTAAAGTCTGACACAGCAAAAGAAATGCAGTTTCCGGTATCCGGGTACCTTCCGGATACCTCCGGACACTTACCCAAAACGCGTCCGGGTATCCGGTGGCAGATACCTTGCCGGATACCAGATCCGTGGTATCCGGCATGGACACCTCACCGGAAAGTATGCCACCTGGAATCCGGGTATCCAGGTATCCGGTACCGGATACCTCACCGGATACCTCAATCTGAGTTTTAAAAAAAAATGTCACAAATTGGGGGGTGCATTTTGTTTAAATAAGTGTGAAACACCTAAAAATATATTGGAAACTAACCAAGAAAATTTAACATTGCTGAAGGTAGCCGGATGCAATTTTTCGAGATGTCTTATTTCTGGTAAAATGAGGTCTCCATCACCTCTGGCTTTCCTCCGACATCAAGCTGGCACGGCGTTATAGCCAACAAACTGACTTACGTATGTCTATAGCTGAAACCTGAATAAAATGATTAGGTGATTAGGTTATATCATTAAAGGAGAGGTGTTTTTAAGGATGATTAGGTAATGTCATTGATTTGATTTGATTAATCTGTTGTTTAACTCAGCAATATTCCAGCTTTATGACAGCGGTCTGTAAATAATCGAGTCTGGACCAGACAATCCAGTGATTGATATCATGAGCATCGATCCACGCAATTGGGATCGATGACATGCTTCAGCCAAGTCAGCGAGCCTGACCACCCGATCCCGTTAGTCGCCTCTCACGACAAGCATTTGCAGCAAGCATGGGTTGCTGAATACCTATTCTCTACACGGATCTTCACGGGTCTGATGTCATTGATGGATAGGACTAAGTTGTGTGATTAGATAGTATTGTGGGTGGATCGTTGTCTTTGGGTGGAGTTTGGGGTGGATTGTTGTATGTAGATGGATGGTATTTTGACTGAGTGGGTGTCAGGTTAATGTGGGAGGAAAGCCCGAAGTGATGCAGGTCTCAGACGTTTACCACTTCGGTGAAACCCACGAGCACGGGTATGGTGCTGACAAACCTAGAAACATAATCGGGGTTAATCGGGATTCAAATAGATTTCTAGCATGCCCAAGGGACGCAACTCTGGACACAAGACGAAGATATATGTGGCAGGAATTGAATTGAGGATATGTACGGTAACGTTATAGATTAATAGCACACTAGATATTCGAGAATACCAAAGAAGGGAAATGACTAAATATTATGAATGAAAAACTAATACGTATATATACTGTTTCCACGCGCTATGTTACAATGGTACATGCAATACAAAGACCTTGGTAGTCGATCAATTCCTTTTGTTCCGATTGGTTGCCTAGGAAACACAATAATAGGAGGAAGCTTTGAAATTGTTACAAACTTAGACCTAATTCGGACATTAATGATTAGTAATTGTATCAAGACCATGTATTGTTCATTCTCATCCCGATGGGGACAATCGTATGTTCTGTGTGTCAATAAATCGATGAAATTGCCAGACACGCACGGAAACATCGTGTCATCGATGAAACCAGATTATCATCTGACTTTTTTACGACAAATGTCAAAACAATCACGAACATAAAATCGCAACTTCCATCAGCACAAATCAATGAATCTATTAAACCTAGGGCACGCGACTCTACTTACAAATTCAACTGTCACATGGACTATATTGAACTGCCTTTGTCGTGGTTGGTCTCCATGGTAACCTCAATAAAGAATGGCGGATTTGGATTCACGTCTATCGTACAAGTAGCTAGCAATGGCGACACACCAACAGCCCCTGGTACTCAGTATGTGCGAGATTCACAGCATTGTTGTCGTTTTAAAGTGCAAGGTTAGTCCAGGTACATGTGATGTGATGTGTTTATTTGTTTATTGGTGTTTGTAATCAGTTAGAACACTTCTTGACGTGCGTTTCTCTGTGGTTGTCTAATGTACTTCCGGGATGGTGGCTCTGTGATGTCAAACGAAAATGTCATACTGTGTAATCGTATCTATTTCTTGACATGTAACACACACATTGTTGTGTGACAAACACCGAGTAGAAGTTATTACAATCTCATTTTATCTACCATTTTGTCTATTAGAATATTATTGATATGTCCCAATATCTGATATAATATTTATTAGATAAATTTCTGCTTGAAGAAACTTTAATATAGATTATGCAAAAATGTAATCGCTATTTGTATCAATGTATTATGAAATGAAATTTGTCACTAGTTTGAATTGCAGGGACCAAATGTATAGTTTGGGTTCTTTTCTACACATTGGATCTGTAAAATAATTTATCAGCAATTTATCATTTTGACAGTTATAATATATGTTCATATGAATGAGAATTACTTTAATAGAGTTTTCGGCTTCGATGAATAAAAACATTTAATGTATTTTAAGGATAAATGTGTTGAAAAGGCTGATTTTAAGTTTATTATAGAAAGATATAAATATTTGAACATGAGTATGTCTGTCCTAAACGGATTTTCTCAGAAGATTTAGATACAGACAGTAGAAACATAGGATAAAAACATTAGAGGCCGCCGCCGTTTGGCAGGAGTAGTGCTGGATGTGACTTTGGGAAACAAACACTTATTTTTTATGCACATTGTATGATGTTTGTTTGTTTGTTTGTTGTTTAACGCCGCACTCAACAATAATCCAGCTATATGACGGAGGTCTGTGAATAATCGAGTCTGGACCAGACATTCCAGTACTTGACATTATGAGCATCGATCCACGCAATTAGGATACGATGACATGCATCAACCAAGTCAGCGAGCCTGACCACCCGATCCCGTCAGTCGCCTAACGAAAAGCATAGTCACCTTTACGGCAAGCATGGGTTATTGAAGACCTATTCTACCCCGGATCTTCACGGGTCGTAAACTGTATGAGTGGGGTGCTACTGCTAGAGCAGGACTTATTACCCCTTTCGCGAACACCCGTGTCATTACTGATTTTTAGTGATCCATTCGTATAATTTTCATTTTGCTTTTTTCTCCATTTGTCTGTGACTGATAAATTTCTCGTCAATATTTCATTTTTATATCTAACATTTTCAGGGGGACAGAATATTCCTTTATTCAGCTAACGTCGTCCTTCCTTTTACAAATATCTTTACAATGCCTACGTTGGCGTTCGACGTTAAATAAAACTAAATAAATATTTTGAGTTACGTGGTTATACAATACGAAAAATAAAAACACGACCACAACTACGTTTGTCTCCGAGTACATGATTAATATATGTATTTATCATAAAATATTGTTTCACGCACATTGTTGTAAATGGTAAAATTCCCAGTGGTATTTATTGATAAGTGCATTGTGTTAATATCGAAAGGGAGAACAATCCTCATGTATGACAAAAATATACTCCTCGTTTGAATGAGCAATCAATGCTGTCTGTCATGTAGGTCAACTGGCCGATCGAAGTGTATTTACCCACACGAGACGCCGCAAATTTGTTCGTTTACATTCCTTGATTTTCGATAAAAGCGTGACACCGTGGATAAGATTTTCGCACAGCTGGCAATATACCACACTGGTATAGTTGGTATATGTTGATGGGATATCAAATTGATAAAATGTTACGCTCAACTGACACACATTTTCAAGTATGCTGCAGCAAAGCCCCGGGGATCTTGTGCAAGCGCTGTAATTATAATCACGAGAAGCGTGCAGCGCAAGTTATTGTTGCAGATTACACTTTCGGGTCGCTACGCCCCATAGGGTTTGTTTGTTTGTTTGTTGTTTAACGCCGCACTCCAGCTGTATGACGTCGGTCTGTAAATAATCGAGTCTGGACCAGACAATCCACTGATTGACATCATGAGCATCGATCTAGACCATCGGGGTACGATGACATGCATGAACCAAGTCAGCGAGCCTGACCACCCGATCCCGTTAGTCGCCTTTTAGGACAAGCATAGTCGCCTGTTACGGCAAGCATGGGTTGCTGAAGACCTATTCTACCCCGGATCTTCACGGGTCCAGAAAAGGCCCTTCAGGGTTTTACCTCGACCTACCGTAGATGACCGTAGATAAGCCAATAAGTACAGCCTCCGTTACGATAAATTATCGATATTGGCAAAGTTTGATTTTACGTTGTACTTCACTATGTAGAGTTACGTCCCTTTGGCGTACAAGGATCTCGGTTCGTTATAATCATTTTTCTAGGTTTGGCAGCAACATACTCATCATCGTCCAAGGGGATGACCATAGGAATCTAAGGAAAACCAATAGTATTTCTAGAAATCCCCCCCCCCCCCCCCCCCCCCCCACACACACACACACCACACCCCGAAAATCAAATGGCTGCTTCCTCGTAGGTTCGAATGGCCGTGGCGTCAACTAATATCGTAAATATGTACACCATAGCTTTCCCTCAAACATCTATTTGTTATATTGTTATGCTAAAATATTAGCTTTAAAAACTATAAGCTTTAGACACAGTAGCTTTTAAAAATAACTTTGTATTTATGACATGCTTGGAGATAGAGAGATTGTATGGCTGAAACAATGCCGATGTGACGTTAAGTTTTAACTCACTCATGTGTATCGGCCATGACTTTTATCATGCATATTTACTTGACATAATGTCAATGTGTTTTTTTATACAGATCGGACCGACGACGCGCTGTTGGGGGAGGGGGGAGGGGGGACCAGAAAACCTATGATTGTGGGTTCGAATCCCGGTTCGCCCCGATTATGTTTCTAGGTTTGTCAGCACCATACCCATGGTCGTGGGTTTCACCGAAGTGGTAAACGTCTGAGACCTGCATCACTTCGGCCTTTCCTCCCACATTAAGCTGACACGCCGTGATATAGCTGGAATAGTGTTGAAAGCGGCGTTAAACCCAACCCACTCACTGTTTGAGCCATGTGGTTTCAGAGAGTGATTTTCTCTCGCGGATCTAAGAATCATTTGCTTCCAGAAACTATATCTATTTTAACCATTTTTTTGTTACTTTCAGCGTCATGGTCTGATATCTGCCCGTCAACGTAATCTAGAAACCTTCACCTTACACCGACGCTAACAACAGCAGTGTGCAGAGCTTCCACAACATGACGTCACAAACAAATGTCCCTTCCAAACTGCTATGTCTTGCACTGGTGCTATCTGTCTGTTCACTATGCACAGCTCAAAGTAAGTACAACGAATATAAAAGTGCACCTTTATTTGTAAAACAGAGTAACTTTTTTCTTTAGATAGCTTAGAAAACATGATTCAAGTTCTCATGTTGTCATGACAACTCGTTTATGAATAATTTAGAAACTTTGCACAGTGTGTTGGTAACTGTAGCCAAATAGACAGTTTGATTTATTAATGAGTGAAATATGAGAATTCATCCTCGGCATCATAACCCATTGTGCAGGAAATGTTTGAATTCTATAAACTGTATGCCGCGGTTCAGCATTTAAAATTTATGCGAAGCCAAAGTCAAAGAATCAATAGCGATACAATTTTGTGTTAAAGAGTTAGTGATCGAAATAAAGCATATTTAATATCTTACTTTAGAATAGTAATGTCTCGATTGAAACAGTTTTTGATCTACAATAAAAAATCCCGTGAAAGCAAACGCTGAACGCTAACAGTCAAATATTTCCTATAACGTGGTTCTGATCTAACATTAGACATTGCACTGTGCTGTACTTATTAATCTGATGATTATATAGTCTTTGCTATTAGTATAGATAAGCTTGTATTATTGTGTTGAATTAACAACCCATCATCATCATCATCATCATCATTCATCACTATATTCATTGTCACAGACCGCCTCCGCGTCTGTCCGGAGAGCGGGAGGTCGGTGTTCGATCCCCTGCTGCGTCATATCAAAAGACACTAAAAGATGGTACTTGTTGTTACCCTGCCTGGTTCTCGGCATTAAGGGATAGAACAAGGACTGGTCGACTCGGAGTCAGCATACTGTGTCTGAGTGGGATATTCATGTTAAACTGCTACATGATATCGCAGTGGGCTAGCACTATAGTACCGGTATTATGTCGGACTAGTTCAAGCAGCCATATGCATGCACGTCGCATTATAAATGCAATAATCTAGAACGCGACTTTAAATCCCAATTCATCTCACCATACTTCAAATAATTCGGGGCGGTGGCGTAGCCTAGTGGTTAAAGCGTTCGCTCGTCACACCGCAGACTCGGGTTCGATTCCCGACATTGGTACAGCTTGTGAAGCCCATTTCTGGGGTCCCCCGCCGTGATATTGCTGGAATATTGCTAAATGCGGCTTTAAACCATATTCACTCACTCACTCACTCATTAGCTATCATCATCATCATCATCACCATCCTCATCATCATCATAAGTATCATGACATTCATTCTCATCATAGTACTAACTTTTTCCAGTTTTTACAAAACCGTTCCTCTCCATGCAAACCCCCATGAACGCGGGTACCAGTTATACTCTGAGCTGTAGCTCCATCGCCAATGGTGCCCAGATAACCTATGTCTGGCGGAGAGGGGACCAGTTGAGCCCCTTCAGCACGAGCACGACATGCACCACCATTTCCACGTCAGCCCAAGGTATCGTATCTTATGAGTGTGTCAGCGCCTATCAGCTGACGGTCAGAAGGGAGGATAATGGCGTCAATATCACCTGCATCGCCACCTCGGTCAGTGGGAGAACGAATAGCGATACCGGCACTTTCTACATTCAGAGTACGTATGTTGTCCGTCCTTTCATCCTTCCGTACGTCTTCACTTATCACTTGCTTCATTTGTTCTTATTGGCGTGCAGAGTTGCTTCCCTTTTGCGTCCCAGGAACCTATGACCCTCAGTTCGAATCCAATCTTCCCGAGGCAAGAGAGTTCACTTACTATAAAAGTCCAGTTTTCAGTCTAGTTCGGCAAGAGTTCACGGGCTTGATCATAGCGTCACCTGTGGCTATTACGAGTTATGTCCCTTCTATGCCTCTCCTATGGACCAATCAGATTCCACCTCTCGTGTCACTTGCATTTGCTTCAAACAAAATGGCAGCACCCAGTCAAGACGATCTGATCGATAATCAAGATCTATATTGTGATAAAACAAGTCATGCATCGCAAAGTGCATCAAATCACCTAAGCAACTTGATTAAAAACATTAAAAGATTTAGAAAATATCTGTTGACAACGAGTTGGCGGTCCTGCAATCGACCGAAATCTGCATGACAGTTTACGAACCGGATTTCGATTTCCCCTCTTGATTTGGATTGGACTGTGCATAGACTCGTTAGTCAAGCCAAAATGTAACTCTATAATACCAGCCTAGTTCGGCAAGGGCGGGGACTGGACTTTTAAAGTCAGTTAACTCACTTGCCTCGGGAAGATGCTTTTAGTCAACACAAGTAAGATCAGACAGTGGGTATACATTCGTTGTTCTTGTATGACCACATACTTCGGGCTCCTAAATCAAGCCTCCAATCCCAACCAGTGCATTTTATTTCACATCATCCAAAATAAGATAAGCCGAATCACTGGGGCAGCCATTTTAACCCCTGTCTCACTGGTAATATTCAACAATATTCTTTAAAATCCTTAAATTGGTTTTGCCAAACTATCGGAGACCAACAAGATCTCCCTGACTCGGTGTCATCGATCCCAAAATCGATGGTCATGGTATCAATCACTGGATTGTCTGGCCCACGTTCGTTAATTTACAGATCGCCATATTGCTGGAATATTGCTGTGTTTAACGTCTAACAAACAAACTGCTGGCGCTGGCCATTGGGTATGAGATATTGCCTTGCGTGGTCTGGCTGATCATGTATCATCGAACCCCGACGATTCCTTGCTCATACTGTCAACCACTGGTTTAACTCACAAATATTTGATAATTAAGGGGGATGGTAAACCAACAGTCCTGTATCCCAATGCAGCCGAAGAAATTGCTGACACAGCATAAAATTGTTAACGCAATCTTTTGCTAAGGCCCCTTTCGTGCCAGCGCAAACATATGATCTCGGTACATCGATGCCCAGTTTTTGTATGATCAAATCCCATCCACAAGCGCAATGTTCAACATATATCTTGTTAGAGTTGTATCATAGCATACTATTTCTGCGATACTGTAGACAATGACATTGAGGCTTGGTAGCCTAGTGGTTAAAGCGTTCGCTCGTCATCGCTAGCCCCAGGTTTGATTCCCCTGATTTCAATGGGTACATTGTGTGAAGCCCATTTCTTGTGTCATCCGCCATGCTTTGCTGGAATATTGCTAAGCGTGGCGTAAAACAATACTCATTCACTCCTCCCACATCACGCAGACACACGCGAGATCACTGAAATAATGTTCAAAATGGCGTTAAATCAAACTCACTCACTCATAGTCACCCTCATTTTGTTTCTCGCTGCTTTATTGTGTCTCTCCTTGCTTTATTGTCTCCCATTGCTTCATTTTCTCTCATTGCTTCATTCTCGCTCTGCTTGCTTCATTGTCTGGGGCGGTCGGGTAGCCTGGTGGTTAAAGCGTTCGCTCGTCACGCCGAAGACCCGGGTTCGATTCTCGACATGGGTACAATGTGTGAAGCCCATTTCTGGTGTCCCCCGCCGTGATATTGCTGGAATATTGCTAAGAGCGGCGTAAAACCATATTCACTCACTCACTCATAGTCTAATTCTCTATCATGTCGTCTTCGTGTTGCCATGACTACCAGGTGACACTGACGTCTGAGCAGCGTGCCTATCAGAAGCAAGGTATAACAGAAAACGAGGATTCGTAGCGAATATTATTGATGGATAGCAAATAGCACTGAATAACTTTGATCAACATGGATCAGCTTTGATCAACATTGAATAGCTTTGATCAACATGGATGAGCTTTGATCAACATCGAACAGCTTTGATCAACATTGAATAGCTTTGATCAATATCGAACAGCTTTGATCAACATTGAATAGCTTTGATCAACATCGAACAGCTTTGATCAACATCGAATAGCTTTGATCAACATTGAATAGCTTTGATCAACATCGAATAACTTTGATCAACATCGAACAGCTTTGATCAACATCGAACAGCTTTGATCAACATCGAACAGCTTTGATCAACATCGAATAGCTTTGATCAACATTGTTTAGATGCATGCCTCGATGTAAGATCTAGCCATTTCAGATATGGATAGATGCTCAGATAGAAAATAGATAGAAGATGCACAGATAGACGAATAGATGTACAGATTGTTAACAGATAGAAAAGGGATAGATGCACATATAGAAAACGGATAGAAGGATAGATGTACATATAGTTAACAGATAGAAAAGGGATAGTTGCAAATACAGAAAAGGGATAGTTGTACATATAGAAAACGGATAGATGCACAGACAGATCGATAGGTGTACAGATAGTTAACATATAGAAAACGGATCTAAGCACATATAGAAAACGTATCTAAGCACATATAGAAAACGTATCTAAGCACATATAGAAAACGGATCTATGCACATATAGACAACGGATCTATGCACATATAGAAAACGGATCTAAGCACATATAGAAAACGGATCTATGCACATATAGAAAACGGATCTATGCACATATAGAAAACGGATCTATGCACATATAGAAAACGGATCTATGCATATATAGAAAACGGATCTATGCACATATAGATAGATAGAAACAACCCCAGATAGATACTCTGTTGTATGTTTGCCTTCTGCTCTCTTTGCAGCTGCTGTGTATGAATACAAAACCTGACCCAATTATCAAACACGTACCCTGCCGGAATAGTGCTCCCAATAACCATCACACGTTTGTGTGGCCCAAACAGTGGTATTTTCAGACCGCTGTGATACAGCTGGAATATTGTTAACTGTGGTGTTGAAACACACACATCAGAAAGACAACGATTGTCTTGTGGTTATGAAATAATACTTCATAATATGAACATTATTATTAACATTCGTGATTATGAAAACATTCAGAGCGCCAGATAACATTTTGAGCAACTGAGTTTTTTACCCTAGGATTTCTATTTAAATTGGGTTTTTTCATTGGGCAAATAATGTTTTTCACTCAACTATTCATAACTCTATTGGGATTTCCCAAAATTAGTAACATTTAAAAATAAAATAAAACATGTTTTAGATCTTTATAACTGTTCTAAATATATAGGCTTGACTCAGAAAGTAAACTAGCTCGTAATTGTGTTTCGGAAATTAGCTCCTTTGTAAGCCTGCTTAAAAAGCTTCATTGGGTATTTACACGTGCTGTTTTTATACATTTGAGTTTTTCATTTAATGATTGCATTTCTGTAGGCAAGTTAATGCAAAGTACGGTAAACTACGTTTATAACGAACACGCCTATAACGAACTGTCTGATATAACGCCTTTTTTTTGGTGCAGTCCATATTCTGTATAGATGTTGTACATATGCATATAACGACTACGGTTATAACGTATCAAGATTAGTGGTCACTTTGAGTTCGTTATAACCGAAGTTTACCGTAATTGGGTATTGAATATTTTGGGGGGAATTTTACGCAAATACGCTGCTTATCTGTAGCTCTGAAACATCCTGTCTATCACTGCAGCTCCCCCGCTTAGTCAGTACCCAGAGATTATTGGGAACGACACCATCAACGAGGGCCAAAACGTCACGTATTTGTGTGTGGCGGACGGTGCAGTGCCTCAGGCCACGTTGAGGTGGCGCGTTGGGTCGACGTCGATAGTAACGGACGGGTATAGTCCCCCAGCCACCGTCAACACTGACGGCACCTACAGGACCGTGAACTACCTCTACCGTACTTTCTCCGCCTCCGACGACGGTATCCAGATACGATGCGACATGTCCCATCCAGCATCGTCGGGGAAACGGGCAACAAAGACTGTCACAGTTCAATGTGAGTTGGTTAGAATGAATGTTTGTTTGTTTGTTGTTTGTTTGTTGTTAAACGCCGCACTCAGCAATAACCCAGTTTTATGACGGCGGTCTGTAAATAATCGAGTCTGGACCTGACAATCCAGTGATTGACATCAGGAGCATCGATCCACGCAATTGGGATACGATTACAGGCATCAACCAAGTCAGCGAGCCTGACCACTCGATCCAATTAGTCGGCTCGTAGGACAAACATAGTCGTCTTTTACGGCAAGCGTGGGTTGCTGAAGATATATATTCTACCCCGTATCTTCACGGGCCGGATAGAATGAATGAGTGATATTATAAGGGTAACGCTATTTTTCAGGGCATTATCATTTGCAGAAGCCCGAGGTCTTCCATTAACTGCCCGACGAAGGAGGGCAGTTGAAAAGACCGAGGGCTCCTGCAAATGATAATGCCCTGAAAAATAGCGTTACCGTTATTATAGCTAAATTGGATGGAATTTGTTATTAAATAAAAAGAAACAACAATGTCGATTTTGAAACATTTACTGCAATCAACACAAATGTCGCTGACCCACTTTTACAAATATGGAAACGTCATAGAACAAACCAGATGACGTCACTATTGAACGTTACGTCACCTATCCCTATCCTATGACGTCACCTAACAGCGGGCGTGATAATGGCCCGTCGTCAAGTAATATGAGGGCATTATCAAGTTACAGTGGCCCGCTCATTCCTGATAACATGCGGGCGTTTTTATGATAATTCTATCCATTTTAGCTATAATGAGTGATATTGCCGGTAGCAATAAGCTGGTAGTTTACAACTAAAAGCTAGTGGTTGATAGCTGGAGCATCGGTTATTCAATCGCCAAAGAGGACACGGGTGGCTCTGTCGTCTAAGGCGCCGCAATTTGCTGTGTTGAGTTTCGTCCCTGGGACACGCCAGAAACCTGTGATCGTGGGTTCGAATCCCGGTTCGCCCCTATTATGTTTGTAGGTTTGTCAGCACCATTCTCGTGCTCGTGGGTTTCACCAAAGTGGTACACTCCTAAAACCTGCATCATTCACTACTGCTCAAAGCAGCGTTAAGCCCATCTCACTCACTCCTCCCACATCAAGCTGACACGCCGTGATATAACTGAAATACTGTTCAAAGCAGCGTTAAACCCAACTAACTCACTCCTCCCACATCAAGCTGACATACAATGAAATAACTGGAATACTGTTCAAAGCGGCGTTAAACACAACTCACTCACTCACTCACTCACGCATTCGCCAAAATATCTTAATTTACACTGTAGACATACACGACATATTCACTGTTAAAGTTTTCAATGCTTATTGTTGATAATGTATCAAACATGTTACAAAATTGCACTCTATGACTTGCGACGTACAGTTAGCAATCTGTCAATGTCTTTAGTTACCAATAGGACCCGTGAAGATCCGGGGTAGAACAGGTCTTCCACAACCCATGCTCGTCGTAAGAGGCGACTAATGGAATGGGGTGGTAAGGATCGCTGCCGTGTTTGATGCATGTCATCGCATCTCAATTGCGTGGATCGATGCTCATTATGTCATCGGTTATGTTATGACATAGATTGATGGTCCAGACTGGATTATTTACAGACCGCCGTCATATAGCTGGAAAATTGCTGAGTGCGGCGTTAACAAACAAACACACACAAGTTACCAATAGCCACTGGAGTGAGGTGAGTTGGGTCTTCACGTCGCTTTGAAAAGTCGACCAGTTGCCGACCGGTGTGTCAAATATATATCTCAAACGTAACTCAGTGTCATTCGGTTAATTGACTTCTCACGAATCAAAGGATTACCACCAACGGAAGGATTACCACCAGCGGAAGTGTATTGTCCGGATAAGTGAGACAATTGTGTGTGCATTTCAGTGTTTTGTGTATGAAAATGACCGTCCGGTTCCGGAAACTGAATTTCCGTATATACGGGTAAATTTATATAGTAATTATTTCGTTTTGAATGAAAATCGTCCGCGAACCGAGGTTTCCGGATATCTGAAGTCCGTATAAGCGGGGCACGACTGTAGTGGAAACCATGTTGATTAAACTGAGATTTGAGATTCAAATCCACGACTGGGGTATCCTGACCTGTGCCAAGGACAATCGTTGCTTTGGGGCCTTAGAAAGATTTCTCATCATGGTGTCTGTTTTCAGATAAGCCGACAATTACCTCCTCTCCCACGAGTTATACTTTAACGGAGGGGGTGACCGGCTTCTTGCACTGCTCGTTTGCCGCTAAGCCGACTCCGACCATTATCCGGTGGCTCAAGGACAACCAAGTGCTGGACAGGTCATCTGGACGGTTCCTCAATGGCGACGCTCCCGCCGCACCCAGTCTAACTATCAATAACCCCCAGTCGCAGGACGCGGGGACCTACGTCTGCACGGCCTCCAACGTTGTCGGCAAAGGTTCCGGCCCTGACGTCACAGTCGTCGTTAAATGTGAGTAGACGTGAGTGAGTGAGTTGGTGAGTTAGTGAGTGTATGAGTGAGTGGGTGGATGGCTGACTTGGTGAGTGAGTGAGTGGCTGAGATGGTGAGTGAGTGAGGTTGAGGGAGTAAAGTGAGCGAATGAGTGTATGAGTGAGTGAGTGAGTTGGTGAGTGAGTGAGTGTATCAGTGAGTGAGTGAGTGAGTGTGTGGGTGGCTGACTTGGTGAGTGAGTGAGGTTGAGGGAGTACAGTGAGCGACTGAGTGTGTGAGTGAGTGAGTGAGTGAGTGGCTGAGATGGTGAGTGACTGAGTGTATGAGTGAGTGAGTGAGTGGCTGAGATGGTGAGTGACTGAGTGAGTGAGTGTGTGGGTGGCTGACTTGGTGAGTGAGTGAGGTTAAGGGAGTAAAGTGAGCGACTGAGTGTATGAGTGAGTGAGGGCGTGAGTGTGTGGATGGCTGACTTGGTGAGTGAGTGAGTGGCTGAGATGGTGAGTGAGTGAGTGCATGAGTGAGTGAGTGAGTGAGTGAGTGGGTTGATGGCTGACTTGGTGAGTGAGTGAGTGGCTGAGATGGTGAGTGACTGAGTGCATGAGTGAGTGAGTGAGTGAGTGGGTGGATGGCTGACTTGGTGAGTGAGTGGCTGAGATGGTGAGTGACTGAGTGCATGAGTGAGTGAGTGAATGAGTTGGTGGATGGCTGACTTGGTGAGTGAGTGAGTGGCTGAGATGGTGAGTGACTGAGGTGGAAGGATTAAAGTGAGCGACTGAGTGTATGAGTGAGTGCGTGCGTGGGTGGATGGCTGACTTGGTGAGTGAGTGAGGTTAAGTGAGTAAAGTGAGCGACTGAGTGAGTGAGTGAGTGAGCGAGCTTGAGTGAGTGAGTGAGTGAGTGAGTGGGTTTCTGCGTGAGTGACTGCGTGAGTGAGTGAGAGAAAGGGTGAGTGGGTGGATGGGTATGTGTGTGTTGTGTGTGAGTGAGAGAGTGAGAGAGTGATGGTGGTTAACTTTGCGAATTACTCCACGATCAAGGTTTTTTTTTCACAAAACAGCATGGCTTTGTAAAATGAGACAAAGAATGTCTCACACATTGAATTACCATAACAACAAAAACAACATTAACAAACATTAACAAATATTAATGACAATACCAGTACTGTACTACTGTCAATAATAATAATAATGATAATGATGATGATGATGATGATGATGATGATGATGATTTCACTCAGATAAACCAAAGGTCTCAATTCCCAACGCAACGTATGGCGCCGACATCAGCGAGTCCCTCACCATCCCGTGCAACATCGACGCTGACCCTAGTGTGACGTCAGTCACGTGGTACAGGAACTCAACGGGCTCGGCTCTACCGATCACCATCCCCTCGGGGTCGAAGTACACTGGAGGAACTCTCGCATCCCCTTCGTTGTTGATATTCAACCTACAGCCGTCTGATGCCGCATCGTACCAGTGTGAGGCTGGAAACATACTGGGCACCACTCGAAGTAATGCGGTGACAGTTTCAATAAGCTGTAAGTTGTATAAGTGGGTACCCGGTAGAAGTGAATTTGAATAATAATAAGACATGTTGTTTTGTGAGCTTCTAAGCATCATCATTTCGCATGGGTATTCCTGGTAAGAATTGGTTGCGAGCATGTAAAACTAGTCTTTGAAGGCAATTCATGGATCGGGTGGGAGCTCGGTGTCATGTTGGATTGATTGTCATCGTACCCCTACGGACATCTTCCCGAGTCAAGTGAGTTAACTGACTTTAAATGTCCAGTTTCCACCCTTGCCGAACTAGGTTTGAATTACTGGGCTCCTGAGTTATGTCCCTTCTATGTCTCTCCTATGGACCAATCAGATTCCACCTATCGTATCACTTGCATTTGCTTCAAACATAATGGCGGCGTCTATTCAAGAAGATCTGATTGATAATCAAGATCTATATTGTGATAAAACGGGTCTTACATCGCAAAGTGCATCAAATCACGTATGCACCTTGATTAAAAACATGAAAAGATTAGGAAAATATCTGTTGACAACGAGTTGGCGGTCCACATGCTTTGCAAATCCTGCAATCGACCGAAAGTTGCATGACAGTTTACGAACCGGATTTCGATTTCGGTGCGCGATTTTGATTGGGCTATGCATAGACTCGTTAGTCCAGCCGAAATCTAACTCCATAATACCAGCCTAGTTCGGCAAGGGTGGAAACTGAACTTTTAGTCGATTAACTCTCTGGCCTCGAGAAGATGCCCTAAAGCGTTGCTCACAAAATTAATCACTGGATTGTCTGATCCAGATCGATTAGCTGAGTGAGGCGTTAAAAACTAACAGCAAGAAAACAAAACACATTGATACGTACTCATTTCATGCCAATTGGAATAATATTGCGGCGTTAAACAACAAACAAATTCTTCATGAAAAAATTAAATATCAAATGTTCATTTTGCACTTAATTGCGTTTGAAGAACTTTAGATGCACAGACATGATTATTTTACGTTTTTGGAAGAGGTGTGTGTTCACATGCTTCATATATTTGTTCAGATGCTCCCACGAATATTCGGACTGTCCCCAATTCTTTCGAAGTTAATGCTGGAGGAGACGTTCTGGTGACGTGTTTTGCCGACGCCGTGCCGTCCCCAACCTACGCCTGGTTCTTCCAAACGGACAGTATCAACCCTGTCTCCAACAGCGCCGTCCTCAATATCACTTCGTCGAAGCCATCGGACGACGGCAGGTACACCTGCAAGGCAACAAATGAAAAGGGAGAAGCATCGATCATCGTCGGCATAAGCGTCAGATGTGAGTTCAGATGAGTGAGTGAGTGAGTGAGTGAGTTGGGTTTAAGGTCACTTTGAACAGTATTTACTTACATCTCGGCGTGTCAGGTCTTAGACGTTTACCACGTTCATTAAGCCCACGAGCCGTGCATGTTGGTGACAAACCTAGAAACAATAATAGGACGAACCGGAATTCGAACCCATTTCTTGAACACCCAAGGGACACAACTCTGCAAAGCAAATGACAGCTCAGTAGGTCGTTTGGTGACCAAGTCTACTGCGTCTACAGAATTGCGTCCCTTAGTTGCTTCAGCATACGATGGTCGTACGTGCCTGTTGGCATCCAAAATTGGTACTTATTATGATTTTATTGATTATGATTCTTGATTTTCCGACCCATGAATGTCCAGGTTAGAACGGATCTTCAGCAACCCATGCTTGCTGTAAAAGGCGACTATGATTGTCGTAATGGGATCGGGCGGTCAGGCTCGCTGACTTGATTGATGCATGTCATTGTATCCCAATTGCGTGGATCGATGCTCATGATGTCAATCACTGGATTGTCTGGTCCAGACTCGATCATTTACAGACCGCCGTCATATATATGGAATCTTCCTGAGTGCGGCGTTAAACAACAAACAAACAAAACAAATAAACAATCTTGATTTGCCACCTCTTTGCCCGACTATTTCGGACGAAATAAACGCGAGTGATGTTTTTCACAGATCCTCCCATCATCAGCTCGAGTGCCACCCCCCAAGAAGTGGACGAAGGTTCTTCAGTGACGCTGTTGTGTTCTGTTACCGCGAACCCCATCCCTTTCGGGGTTGTCTGGTACAAAAACTCTCAGTTCCTCGACAGGACGAACCTTGCCTACTCAGGGGGGGACAGCGTCGCCTCACCCCATCTCACCATCTCAAACATTCAGAAGTCCGATGCGGGGATCTACCATTGCGAGGTTCCTAATCAAATGGGACGCGGTATCAGCGAAAACGTCACCGTCAGGGTTGTCTGTAAGTACCGACATACAGGGCGTTCAATAAGTTTTGCAACTTCAATATAAGTCGCAGAATATCTTTTGCACTTCTATTTTTCAATATAATCTCCATTCCCCTCAATACACTTATTCCATTTTTCCTTCAAGCTTTTAATACCACTTTTTTAGAAATCCGCAGATTGGCCCCCTAACCACGCCTCTTTGGTAGCCTTTATGTCCTCGTCATCCTGGAAGCGTCTTCCACGTATGGCAGATTTCATTTTCCGTAACAGGAAATAGTAACTGGGGCCTTTTGGTTCTACGTTGGTCCTACGTTGGTCCTACGTTGGTCTTACACTGGTCCTTACATTGGTCCAATATTAGTCCTACGTTGGTCCTACATTGGTCCTACGTTGGTCCCACATTGGTCCTACGTTGGTCCTACATTGGTCCTGCGTTGGTCCTACATTGGTCCTACGTTGGTCCTACATCGGTCCTAATTTGGTCCTACATTGGTCCTACATTGGTCCTACATTGGTTCTACATTGGTCCTACATTGGTCCTGCGTTGGTCCTATATTGGTCCTACGTTGGTCCCACATTGGTCCTACATTGGTCCTTGCGTTGGTCCTACATTGGTACTACATTGGTCCTACATTGGTTCCATATTGGTCCTACATATGTCCTACATTAGTCTCACATTGGTTCCATATTGGTCCTACATATGTCCTACATTAGTCTCATATTGGTTCTATATTGGTCCTACATTGGTCCTACATTGGTCCTGCGTTGGTCCTACATTGGTCCTACATTGGTCCTACATTGGTTCTACATTGGTCCTACATTGGTCCTACATTGGTTCCATATTGGTCCTACATATGTCCTACATTAGTCTCACATTGGTTCCATATTAGTCCTGCGTTGGTCCTACATTGGTCCTACATTGTCCTACATTGGTCCTGCGTTGGTCCTACATTGATCCTACATTGGTCCTACATTGGTCCTACATTGGTCCTACATTGGTTCTACATTGGTCCTGCGTTGGTCCTACATTGGTCCTACATTGGTCCTACATTGGTCCTACCTTGGTTCCATATTGGTCCTACATATGTCCTACATTAGTCTCACATTGGTTCCATATTGGTCCTACATTGGTCCTGCGTTGGTCCTACATATGTCCTACATTGGTTCCATATTGGTCCTACATTGGTTCTACATTGGTCCTACATTGGTCCTTCATTGGTCCTGCGTTGGTCCTACATTGGTCCTACAATGGTCCTACATTGGTTCTACATTGGTCCTACATTGGTCCCACATTGTTCCTATATTGGTCCTACATTGGTCCTACATTGGTCCTACATTGGTCCTGCGTTGGTCCTACATTGGTCCTACATTGGTTCTACATTGGTCCTACATTGGTCCCACATTGGTCCTATATTGGTCCTACATATGTCTTACATTGGTTCTTTATTGGTCCTACATTGGTCCTACATTGTCCTACATTGGTCCTGCGTTGGTCCTACATTGGTCCTACATTGGTTCTACATTGGTCTTACATTGGTCGCACATTGGTCCTATATTGGTCCTACATATGTCTTACATTGGTTCCATATTGGTCCTAAATTGGTCCTACATTGTCCTACATTGGTCCTGCGTTGGTCCTACATTGGTCCTACATTTGTTCTACATTGGTCCTACATTGGTCCCACATTGGTCCTACATTGGTCCTACAATGGTCCTACATTGGTTTTACATTGGTCCTACATTGGTCCCACATTGGTCCTATATTGGTCCTACATTGGTCCTACATTGGTTCCATATTGGTCCTACATATGTCCTACATTAGTCTCACATTGGTTCCATATTGGTTCTACATTGGTCCTGCGTTGGTCCTACATTGGTCCTGCTTTGGTCCCACGTTGGTTTCAAATTGGTCCTACATTAGTCCTACATTGGTCCAACATTAGTCCTACATAGGTCCAACATTGGTCATTGATGCTACATTGGTCCCTCCCTGATCATACTGTGGCCTCTAGTGGGCCTACATTGGGTCTACATTGATCCTACATTGATACTAAATTCGTCCTACATTGATCCTATATGGGTCCTACATTTGGCCTGCATTTGGTCTAAATTGGTCCTACATTAGTCCTACATTGATTTTACATTGGACCTACATTGGGCTTACATTAATCCTACATTGACCTACATTGGTACCACATTGGTCCTACATTGGTCCTACTTTGGTCCAACATTGGTCCTCTATTATTCAAACATTGATGCTACATTGGTCCTCTATTAGTCAAACATTGATGCTACATTGGTCCTCTATTAGTCAAACATTGATGCTACATTGGTCCTCTATTAGTCAAACATTGATGCTACATTGGTCCTCTATTAGTCAAACATTTGATGCTACATTGGTCCTCAACTGATCCTATTGTGGCCTACAGTGGGACCTATATTAGGCCTACGTTGATTTTACATTGGGCCTACATTGAACTTACATTTAGCCTACATTGATGCTACATTGATCCTACATTGGGCTTACATATTGGGTCAACATTGATCTTACATTTGGCCTACATTCATCATACATTGATCTTACATTGACCTAAATTGGGCCTACATTGATTCTACATTGGGCCTGTAGTGATTTAAAATTGGGCCAACATTGATTTTACATTGGGCTTATATTAGTTTTACATTGGGCCTACATTTATCCTACATTCATGTTACATCCATTTATCATGGATCCTACATTAATCCTAGTTTGGGCCATTATACACCTGAAGAGTTATATGAATCAATAAGTCCTATTACTTATCATTCAGATCCCCCTGAGAGTATCGCCATCACTCCCCCTGATGACACGCACACCCTCAACGAAGGTGACAGTCTGACCCTCGTCTGCGTCGTCAACGCCGTGCCACTCCCCACCTACCAGTGGAGAGCAGGAAGTCAAGTTATAGCGTCCCTTCCGTTACTCGCTATCAATCCAGCTGGACCGGAAGACAACCGAGATGTGACGTGTGTCGGCTCCAACACCAAAGGAAACATCACCAAGACGGTCCGGGTTAACGTTGAATGTAATTTTCTTGTGACGATCATACTTCCATATAAACCAATGATATTGTTCAAGAGATAAAATTTAAAATCTAACAATTATCGTTAGAAACACTAGCATCGTGACAGGATGATGGTATACCGAAACTAACAGCATGACAATTTGATCGTACCCTGACATTAACAGCATGACTATTTGATGGTATGTTGACATTAACAGCATGACTATTTGATGATATATTGACATTAACATCATGATTATTTGATGAGATATTGACATTAGCATCATGACTATTGATGGTATACCGACATTAACAGCATGACTATTGATAGTATACCGAAACTAATAGCATGACAATTTGATGGTATACTGGCGTTAACAGCATGACAAATTGATATTATACCGAAACTAACAGCATGACACTTTGGTGGTATACAGACATTAACAGCGTGATAATTTGATGGTCTACTGACGTTAACATCATGTCTAATTGATGGGATAATGATATTAACAGCATTACAAATTGATGCTATACCGAAACTAACAGCCTGCCAATTTGATATTATACCGAAACTAACAGTATGACTATTTGGTGGTATACAGACGTTAACAGCTTAATACTTTGACGGTATACTGACACAAACAACATGATAAATGTTTAGTCTACCGACACTCACAGCAGGAATATTGATGGCATACAGCATAATAGGTTAATCGTATACCGACAGTCACAGCATGACAACTGTATAGCATACTGACACAGACTACCAGATGTACAATGTCAGTGCGGCCGTCAATTCAGGAACGCGGAATCCCACCCTTCAGTCTGTATTCGCCAGGTGTTTCATTATCATAAATCGTTTGTGTAAAAGGTGTATCGATTCAACATTGAATAAGCTTTCTAAGTTCTACGTATTTAGCACACTACGAAGTATGGATCCTTTGGTAAATGAGAAGGTTGGCAACCATTTCGGTAGTTACAAATGTCCCAGAAGAGAAGGAAATATCTTTATTAATTATAAAATCATGGAGATAATAATTATTGACAGCATATTGATGGATGTTAGATGACAGTAACAACTTTGCATTTGTCTGCGTTTTTTTTGTGGCAGTGATGGTATTCATAGTTTACATCGACGTGAGTCTGACATCATCACGTTTTTAAACAATTGCTCAAACCTTTGTTTACCTCAAACACCAAAGGTGTTCATTCAACTTAGCTTCAGGTGCGCTTTTGTGAAATGTCAGCGTATATCACATACATTAACCATGTCGTATACCAAAAAATGTTTATACCTTAATTAATTCCAGGTTACAATTTGATAATAGGAATGTCGGTGGGTCTTTCCAAATGTAAGGAATGTGAGTGAGTGAGTTTGGTGTAACGCTGCTTTTAACAGTATTCCAGTTATATCACGGCGTGTCAGGAGGAAAGTGATGCAGGTCTAAGTCGTTTACCACTTCGCTGAAACCCACTGGCACGCGTATGGTGCTTACAAACCTAGAAACATAATCGGGTCGTACCGGGATTCGAACCCACAACCATAGGTTTCAGGCGGTCCCAAGGGACGCAACTCTGCACAGCGAATCGCGGCGCCTTTGACGACTGGGCCACCCGTGCCCCCGTAATGAATGTGGTTTGTCTGATTAACACGTTCTATTCAGTGTTCCTTATACAATACCATAATCTACGTAAGTCAAAATTAACATATCGTGTTTTTTAGTGTCGACAAAATTAGTGACGGTACTATCGTGTCGCAGGATTGTCGAGTTTGTTTACAGGATGACGTCACATGGCAGTAGTACTGCTGTGCTGAGTCAGGCAATAAATAATTACTGTTTTTATTCAAATTGTATGAATGCCGGGTGCTACCGGTAGGGCAGGACATGCTTACCCTTTTCGCAAGCACCCGGTGTCATCATTCATATTTCAGTGGTCCATTCATAGAATTTCCACAGCTATTTTGTCCTTTACGCCAAATGGAATGTTTTGGCAGAAAGTCTAGGCTGGTTATTAATTTGCATTGACAATTTATATTTACATATATGCACTATAGATTCACCTCGAGTAACAATACCCGGTGGCGATGCATTCGGCGCCGACGAAGGCAACAGTCTCACCATCCCTTGCGTCGTTGACGCCAACCCAGCAGATGAGACATTTCATTGGCTCAAAGATTCCGCCGTCCTTGAACTTTCGGATACCAGCAAGTATGGCGGCGGGACCAACACGTCTCGCGACCTCACGATATTCACGTTGTCCTCCGCTGATTCTGGGAACTACAGCTGCAGAGCTGTGAACCCAAGAGGTCAGACCACGAGCAGAGCTGTATTAGTGACGATCAGCTGTAAGTTGTAATGGTGTTGTCTACTGCACGGTGGGGTCCTTGCTCTTGGGACCAGGAACCCTCTTTTTTAACGTTCACTTGACGTTTTGGTCAACCTTTTGCATGTTCGCATGTGTTCACTTTAACATGACGTCTCTTGCATGGTTTTCTTGTCATGTGTGTGTATTCACTTGCACTCTCGTCTTCTCTTTTGCACGGTTTCCATGGCGACGTGACGTCATATGTTCACGTCTTTATCGCACGAACGCTACCTACCAATTTGGATTCTGTTTCTACACGTGTTCTTCATTCTTGTAGCTTTGGTGGGTTTTATCAGTTTGCTTTTTTAAGAAAGTTCTCTAATTTATTTCGATGTTATTTTCAGTTTTACCATTCGTGGTTCCTGTTTTTGTTCCAAACTCCTTTATCATTCGGTTGCTTCAGAAGTTTGTCATTCCTCTATGATTTGCATGCTTCTGTATCTGAATCTTGTGGAGTCATCTGCAGATGCTTGTCATGTCCGACCTCGTGGTGTTGAAACTACAATGATTGTTGTTGTGCTTGCATTGTAACTGGTGATGTATCACGATCTACAACTTAGTTCGCGTTTAAACAGTAGTCGGTGTATATTATGTACTGAATCAACTATTCATATTAAATATATTTTTAAAATATTCAAATGGTTTGTGAAAATGAGCCAGGATCAACGTAATGTACGAAGCCAGCGATCCGACATTTGACGTCCACGTTTTGTAATGTTGATACTAATCGTAGAAACATATACATATACAATTCATATTTTGATGAGGTGCCGTGATTGTTTGTGTATCACGTCTATATCAGGTTATGATAATATCCGATCAATAACCCAACCAGTTAAGCCATTTGATTTTAATAACTTACCAGACGAGCCAGAAAACGTCACAGTGAGCCAAACGTCAGTGACAGTAATCGAGAACGAGGCTATACTGGTCACGTGCTCAGCAAACGCCGTACCTTCTCCCAGTTTTAATTGGCTGAAGGGAAGTGTCGAATACCAGGATGGCGCCTACCTAAACATCACTTCCGCAGCACCAAAGGATTCAGGGACATACACTTGCAAGGCTAATAACACGAAGGGAGAGACCAGCGTTTCAGTGATCGTTGACGTTCAATGTAAGTATTACAATCAATTGATTCATGTATAAGGATTTGATGGTGATAATGACCTGCGTTTCTGATCATTTCTTTTGTGACATCACATCCTATATTATTATCATCATCATCATCATCATCATCATCATCATTATTATTATTATTATTATTATTATTATTGTTATAAGTTTCAATCTGAAATATTTCGTGTACAGTGGTAACAATTCTTTTGATTTCCAAAAAGATTATTTAAACAGTAGAAATACCTCACTAAATTTGATTAACAAACCTTCTACTGCTAAACGGAAGCTTAGTGGTGTAAGTTCGTAACGATAAAGATTCAGATCTTATCCCAACGTACATGTTTTCAAGTTTTTCTTGGTGTCCAAAGCCAATATATTGCCTGTATGTTGGTAAACGTGCCGTTAAATCATATTCACTCGCTGAAGCAGTGTTTGGTAATACTCGCTCATTGAAGTGGTGTTTGATCATATTCACTCACTGAAGCGACGTTTGATCATATGCACTTCCTGAAGTGACGTTTGGTCATAGTCACTGAAGTGGTGTTTGATCATATTCTCTCACTGAAGCAACGTTTGATCATATTCTCTCACTGAAGCAACGTTTGATCATAGTCACTGAAGTGGTGTTTGATCATATTCTCTCACTGAAGCGACGTTTGGTCATAGTCACTGAAGTGGTGTTTGATCATATTCTCTCCTTGAAGCAACGTTTGATCATATTCTCTCACTGAAGCAACGTTTGATCATATTCACTCAAGTGGTGTTTGCTGAGTGTAAACAATACTTGGTTTACCGCAACAACTTGAAATACTTCTCCAGTTAGGATCTTCCTTCTTTGATTGAATGTTAATATAACCTATACCACGACGGAGGGGCGGTCGTGTAGCCCAGTGGTTAAGGTGTTCGCTCATCACGCTGAAGACCCGGGTTTGATTCCCCACATGGGTACAATGTGTGAAGCCCATTTCTGGCATACCCCGCCGCGATGTTGCTGAAATATTGCTGAAAGCGGCGTAAAACTACTCACTATACGACGACAGTGATGAATTCACCCCGAGCAAAGAAACCAAAATGTATTCATTCAGTTCACATGTCTTTCCAGATTCCCCACGCGTCGCTTCCCCGGATGAAGAGCTGATTGCCGATACCGGAGATGACGTCACCATCTCATGCACAATCAATGCCAACCCAAACGTCACGTCAGTTACTTGGAACATGCTAAACGGTTCATTCCAACAACCGGTGAATATGGCAGACGTAAGGTACACCGGTAGTTCTCCGGCAAGTCCTTCTTTGTCAATTGTCAATCTGACGGCCGAAGATGCAGGACGCTACCAGTGCAAAGGTGACAACGCTATTGGACCCGGAAGCGGCTCGTACGTCACGCTGACGATCAGTTGTAAGTAGTACCGTGTAGTGTTGTGTGCTGTGGTTGGTGTTGTATATTTCTCACAATCTCCCGATCCCTTTGATTTTGAAATCATTCCGAGTGATCTAACACATTCCTTGTTTGACCACAACAAAATAACAATTTTGTTTCGTTTCTTTTTTCGTATATTTTATTTAATAAAACACGTGTTATGTTTTTGAGTTTGTTGTGATTTTGATTTTAGCGATGCACCTCGTTGAACTATGACATTTATTATCTCCCTTTAACCCTCATTTTGTTGCGTCTTGCAATGCGTTTTAATAACTGTCAGTCTACCCTGGTGTTTTGTGCGAGTTGTGGCCCTTGGTCGTGTCAGGATCCGAGACTGGTGGGTTCGATTCCAAAAGTCACTGATCCGTGGTCACCTTCGTACATAGACCTGGCTTTCTGCACCTTCCTCCAAGATAAGATTAAGCCACTGATATTGTTGATATTATTAGTTATGGTGAAAAATATTTTCTGCTAACCTAATATGACACCGTATACGGCAACTAAAGACACCATAACGAATTTATAATGCCGAAAAGTTTACACTATTTGGTATCTTTGTCGCACATGTCATGTCAAACTTAAAACTCAAAACGTAACACTTACAACCTAAGACGTTAAGGGTCAAAGGGAGACTACTCTTCTGACCTCAGAGGCCAGCCCTTGTTGATGATTTTAACATTGTATAATCTTTATTAAAGTCACGAACGTGATAAAACAAAATATTAACGTCCTTGCACATCAAAATTAATTATATTAAAACACAAAACAGTGTCGAATAACGAATTTTGGTACAAGAATTTTCATGTGAAATATGTGAGGTGGGTGTTGGAAAATCCAAAATGCCTGTTACTGACGGTATACGGTCTCATATTAGGTCAGTGACAACCATCTTGGATTTTTACTGACAATATACGGGCTCATGTGGGGTGAGTAGTTCTGTTCTCTGATTGGTGAATTTCACTTTGAGGCATAATAAACTGTGCTATGCGACGTACGGCCCATTTCCCTTACAGACCTGGTCAGAAGAGGTTATGGTTACATATTGTTACAGCATTATCCATATACCAGGGTAGCTGATTGTTACAGCATTATCCATATACCAGGGTGACTGATTGTTACAGCATTATCCATATACCAGGGTAGCTGATTGTTACAGCATTATCCCTATACCAGGGTAACTGACTGTCACAAGATTAGTCATATAAAAGGGTAAAGGATTGTTACAGAAAATACAGTTAGCCATATATCAGGTAATTGATTGTTACAGAGTTAGCCATATACCAGGTGACTGATTGTTACAGAGTTAGCCATACACCAGAAGACTGATTGTTACAGTTAGCCATACACCAGGTAACTGATTGTTAGAGAGTTAGCCATACACCAGGTGACTGATTGTTAGAGAGTTAGCCATACACCAGGTGACTGATTGTTACAGCATTAGCCATATACCAGGTAACTGATTGTTACAGAGTTAGCCATATACCAGGTAACTGATTGTTACAGCATTAGCCATACACCAGAAGACTGATTGTTACAGTTAGCCATACACCAGGTAACTGATTGTTCCAGAGTTAGCCATACACCAGGTGACTGAATTTTACAGCATTAGCCATACACCAGAAGACTGATTGTTACAGAGTTAGCCATACACCAGGTGACTGGTTGTTACAGAGTTAGCCATATACCAATGGCACATTCCGTTCCGTCTGTTCTGCCTAGACTTAATCTTATTCTTTGGTCATATAATTGTTCTTCTGGGAAGTGTAAATTCTCTCACCAGTGACATTCATGGAAAGTTCTGATGAGGTCGCCGTGGAGGATGTTGCTACGGAGACAGCTACGTTCCCATCCCTTGGTTCTGCACTTAATGTTCTGCACTTTTTTTCTTCTCATCCTCTTTACATCCTCTTTACATCCCTTCACCAGGTTGTGGTCTTTTAACATCCCATCCCAACTGCTGATACCTGCCTTTATATGCATATATATCATTGATAACTACATTAGTTGTCCAATATACATTATAAATGCAAGCAAGATTAATTTGGTTGGATAAGACGTATTTTGTCATCCTTTAACAGAGATGAAGCGGACAGGTTGTTTCTTTAAGTGTCTCCATTTTGGTCCGCCATTTTTTTCGATCAGCATTCACAAAGAACATTGTCTCAGTCGCAATGTAGTTCATTGGTTTTGAAATTTCAACTTGCAAATGAATTTCTTGTCACCGTGTCATGTTCCATGCTTTCTCCCAGTCGTTCCTAAAGAGGTCTCGCTGACACCATCTAAGGTCAATGTCACGGAAGGGGAGACAATTTCAGTGACTTGCTCATCTAGCGCAGCGCCCTCTGCTACCTACGTCTGGCTTCGTAATGGAGATTTCTATCAAAATGGCGCCACGTTGTCAATATCGTCAGCCTCGACTGAAGACAATGCCACTTTTATATGTCAAGCAAAGAACGAAAAGGGGACGACCGAATCCAGCATTGACGTGAATGTGTCTTGTAAGTATTGATGTTTGAGAGGGGAATCGAAGGGGTCATTGTAGCTTCGTTATCAAAGATGGGACGTGCTTTATAAAGGGGCTCGCCTCAGACAAGCATTACCAATATTGTATACACTGCACCCGTGAATGCATACGGGTTGTAGTGATGACGCGTGTCTGTTTTGATCAAGTATCTGTTTATTTGTTGGTTTGTTGTTTAACGCCACACTAAGCAATATTCCAGCTATATGACGGCGGTCCGTTAATAATCGAGCCTGGACCAGACATTGAGGATCTCACTCGAGTCTCTTTTGATATCAAATATATCAACACGAGTTGATAAAAGTGGAAAAATTCCGAGGCCTGCCACTTTAATCTTCCACTTTTTATTCTTTCAACTTTTTCAATTTGTAGACAGTAATTAGCAGTGTCTTCAGTGTAAAAAGTACGGCTAACAGCTTCAGTAGCAGAGCCATTCGTGATGTCATTTGATTGTGACGTCATGGTAACCAGTGACGTCACAATGGTCTGCAAAGCATTGTGATGTAATTTCATTGCAGCGATATCTACAGTGTAGATATCGCTTGATCTCACCTAAGCGATATCTCCTGTGGGAGCCAGTTTTGGATGATAAAATGCAGTGATTGACATCAAGAGCATCGATCCACGCAATTGGAATTCGATGACTTGCATCAACCAAGTCAGCGAGCCTGACCACCCGATCCCGTTAGTTGCCTCTTACGACAAGTATATTCGCCTTTTACGGCAAGCATGGGTTGCTGAAGACCTATTCTACCCCGGATCGTCACGGGTCTTTTGATCAAATAAAGAACGGAACTCAAATGGTTAAAAGTGTTTACATATGTGTAGTGTGAAGCAGTGAGTAGAATAGAGTAGATCGAGAGTAGAATAGAGTACATCAAGGGTACGGCACATGGTCCGCGAGAAATATCGCTGATGTATCCAGGCCATGGCTTGGTTAAAATATGCTAAAAATGTCTTTCAAACAGTTTGTGCAGATAACATCCATCAATATGTCGCATGTATGTTGACAATATGTCGAACGTATATTTTTTATGTATACTAAGTGATCAAATCATTAAATATTTTACCAAGCATAACTATAGCCCGAAATGTTATTTTTTAATAATTGTTTTCTTCTACGATTTTGATAGATCGCCCTCGTGGTATTTTAAAGAATCCTGTTATCAAAACAACTATTGGCAACAGCGCGACCTTGACCTGTCAAACCAAGGCTAACCCGGCTACTTCCTCGTACACATGGTCATTTGGTAGCAAGCAGCTAGCAGAGACTGGGGCTAGTCTTGAAATCACCCCTACAACTGTGGATGATTTTGGTCTGTACACCTGTGTCGCTACAAACACCATTGGGTCATCTGACCCAATCAACTTGACCTTGGAGGAGGGTACCACGGCTGAGCCTCCAAGTAAGTTGCAGGTTTAAATAGATATCAATGATTTACATGAGAGCAATTAAACATATCCTTGCCAACGTGAATTTGAAGGCCCGGACGTCGGAGAGAAGAGCGCGGACGTCAGAGAGAAAGGCGCGGACGTCAGAGAAAAGATGGAGCATGCAAAGCTTTTGTCAAGCAGTGCCGCATTATGTTTCTTTTTTACTGTACTTATTCACTAAGATGCTGAATCAAAAGTCAAACAGAAAGGAGCAATGATAACATCTCTGACGAAAGGATACCTCTGAAATATGACGTCAGCAATGTCTATCGGTTAAAACAAGCCATGAAGGCATTTTGATGTCAAGGTTTAAATACAGCCAATTCATTTGCTATTACCGAATATCCTCAATGTTTTGGGGGGGGGGGGGGGGGTCTCACGTTCTGAAGTGAAATAATTGTTTGGCTCCATCATTCAGGCATATATATTGTATATCCTAAAGCCCTGATCGGCAAAAGATATGGCGCAGTCGTCTGAGGCACCGGAATTCTCGGGTCAGAGTCGCGTATTCGCCTTCATTATGATTCAAGTTAAGTCAGCACCGTCCTTGTGGGTGTCACCATAGTGGCAAACTACTGAAACCTGCATCTCTTCAGTCGCCGTGTTATAGCTGAAATAGGGGATACAGGTTGCCCAGTCGTCTAAGGCGCCGCGATTCGCTGTGCAGAGTTGCGTCTCTTGGGCACGCTACAAACCTATGATTGTGGGTTCGAATCCCGGTTCGCCCCGATTATGTTTCTAGGTTTGTCAGCACCATACCCGTGCTCGTGGGTTTCACCGAAGTGGTAAACGTCTGAGACCTTCATCACCTCGAGCTTTCCTCTCACATTAAACTGACACGCCGTGGTAACTGGAATACTGTTAAAAGCGGCGTTAAACCTAACTCACTCACTCACTCCTCCGGCATCAAGCTGACACGCCGTAATATAACTGGAATACTGTTCAAAGCGGCGTTAATCCCAACTCACTCACTAACTCCTCCCACATCAAGCTTACACGCCTTAATATAACTGGATTACTGTTGAAAGCAGCGTTAAACCCAACTCACTCACTAACTCTATATATTGCTTCCTTGTTGCAGAGACTGGGGCATCAACGGCGTCACTAGGCACGGAGATAATTGTTCTAATTGTACTGCTCTTCCTAATCCTTATCATCATAATAATAGTCATCATAATAGTCTGCTACAAAAAAGGTAATTATACCAGTTTTCATTCGTGTTTTTTGCTCTTTTAATATACATATCTATATACGATACTGCCAATATTGCACATTGCTTTTCAATCAGTATACAGCAGTGAGTCGTTAGGGTATGTCAAGGGTTCGGAATGCTATCGTTTAACAATGTGTTACTAGCACTATTGCACATAGGTATTCATTGCTTTTCATTCAGGACACAACAATGATTCTTTAGGGTATGTCGAAGTTTCGAAATGATATCGTTTAACAGTGCATGTTCAGGTTAGAGTAACCGTTTCTTTAAATACTAGCATTCATTATTATTATTATTATTATTATTATTATTATTATTATTATTATTATCATCATCATCATCATGATCGTTATTATTATTATTATTATCATGATCGTTATTATTATTATTATAATTATTATCATGATCGTTATTATTATTATTATAATTATTATCATGATCGTTATTATTATTATTATTATCATGATCGTTATTATTATTATTATTATTATTATTATTATTATTATTATTATTATTATTATCGTGATCGTTATTATTATTATTGTTATTATTATCATGGTCGTTATTATTATTATTATTATTATCATCATCATGATCGTTATTATTATAATTATTATCATGATCGTTATTATTATTATTATTATTATTATCATGATCGTTATTATTATTATTATTATTATTATTATTATCGTGATCGTTATTATTATTATTGTTATTATTATCATGGTCGTTATTATTATTATTATCATCATCATGATCGTTATTATTATTATTATTATTATTATCATTATTAACTAAAGTCTATGCCTACATTCTATTATAAAAAATATCCTGGAGGCATCCATTCAAATTACTGAGAGAAATTCTGTGCGAAGTGATCGTTCATTATACAGGATGGAGATAATATACACTGGTTTGCCGAGGATGGTACAAACTCCATCACAATACGTATAAGTTTGACAGATATATTTTTCTCTTCAATTTTAAGATTCTAAAATGATCAAAAGAACATTTTAATGGCATTGTTAAAGATATCATATGTACTATGACAGGACATACTGAAACTATGTATTCATGTTATGATTATTTCTTCACATTCCATTTCTCTGCGGCTTCCGTTTCGTATAATAAAGGGTAACTGCGACATTTATCTTTTATAATTTGTAAATGTGTTCACGGAGTTCTCTCCCTTCTTGTTATAAATATTTAAAAATATCCATACAATATAAGACAAGAAAACGAATAAAAATCATCCGAAATTTTATTACTTTAAGGCTCACATCGAATATATTTTCAAATATTGGATGAAAAACAATTTAGAGTGTTTCATTTTCAAATTATATTTCTGTAATCGCTTGTGGAGCTGTGGTAATCTGTGAGTGGTATTACAGGTCATGAATTGAGATCACTCTCGGGGAAGAACTCCGCTTTGCCTGTTTCCGTGTCCTACTGGAATAAGTGTCCATATTTTCCTCTTGCCCTGATCCTAATTTCACAAAGCGATATCAGCGCTACGATAATCGATAATCCTTACTCTCACATTGTTCACGATAGTCGTACGGTTATCGTGGCGCTGTTGTCGATTTATGGAACGGGTCCTGTTTACTAACATTACCCCAAATCTAACTCATAAATGTCGCTTTTACTTCATAACATTATGTTCGTTTGTCGCTCGATATTGTCCCATTGAAGTCATGCTTTTGTGCTTTTGATGTTTAAACTGAAAGACGTTCTGGGGATGTTTTCTAATAATTTCCACTCTGCGTGATGACAAAGCAGAGCCAATCCCTTTTCATCCTGGCAACAGGATGATCACCCTGTGCGCATGCTAAAAAATCCATCACGTGTACAGTAAAACCTCGTTAATACGGAAGGAAGCGTTTGCGGAGAAATCGGACGGTTTAACAAATGTCCGGATTAACTAAAGATAAGTACGGATTATATCTCAATGTCCAAACCGATACTCACCCGGAAGATGGTTTCCGGATTATCGGGGGTCCGGACTAGGGAGGTTTTACTGTTCATGTACCGATTAATTGGTGATGTTGTAACACTCAGAGTTTTGAATCTTGTCTCATTTTCTTGACATATATATATATATATATATATATATATATATATATATATATATATATATATATATATATATATATACTACTTGTATATTACTTGAATCTATGTCAACCTTTCACATATATTTTTATTAATCCCGTTTTATATGTATACACCTTAAATGCTTCGAAGTTTGTTTTTACACCTTAAATGCTTCGAAGTTTGTTTTTTTGCTCTCCACATGGCAATCAGAATGATACTACACACATATTTGGCAAAAAATCCCACTCGCTTCCTCACTAACGTCTAGTACAGTGCGCATCTCGGCTGGATTCCGTTTAAGCAATCAGTTACACAAGCAACCATCACCCATGAAACTGCACCTCTTTAGCTTCTTGCATGATATTCATGTTGGCATTGTAATGTGTCGTTTCGGTTTCCGTTCCTAATTATATATGGGTTGGCCATTCATTCCTGTGTTTGTGTATTGTGTCGTTACATTGTATAAGAGGTGGTTGTTTACAACTGATATGTGTATGTCCAGACTGAACACTCCTGTAACTTCTTTAAGTGGCATTTAGAAGTTTGTGTGATGAAGTAAGACAAGTTCTATGGATGAACAACTTCTTTATTACAATTTGTGCGACGTTTAGGTGTAGATCCTAACACCTTTATCAAGCAAGTGATGGATAGTGCTAAACAACATAGGTATATATACTTATTAACATCAATGTTTATACAGTAAATTGATTGATGGACACAGAGAGCTGATTAAGATAACAAGAAGCCAGTGGATGGTTGTTTACCCTGTCCCATTGTCCTAGTTGATGTAATTGGGTCAGTTGCTTATATGGTCCGAGATGGCTGATTTACTCTCTGATTTAATGGTTGAGGTTTCGTGCTCTTTGAATCTGGTGTTGATGGGGCGGGGTGTGTCACCTACGTAGGATTGTCCACAGTTGCTGCAACTTTATAAACTACACCTTTTGACTCTTGAGGTGTGAGACATACAGAAGCTGTTATCCATGAATTGTGTCTACTTTGAAAACTAAACAAAGTTCTGATAACAGGACAGGGCAATGTTGGTTGACTTTCCAGGTTAGAGTGCTTACAATTTTTACCAATTTGTGTGTCAGGGTGTCCCGTCGGTCCACTGTCTTGAATAAGCAGTACTTTTGGTGACTGCATTCGATTTCAATGTTTTCGTCATTTATCAGTAAAAGCAAACGGCGGAGAACTCCGCCCTGGTTTACTCAACTATACAGTAACGTGTATAAACCTCTATATTCTATATGCAAGTGAGCTGTAGCATATCAGTGATAGTGTGAGTGAGTGAGTGAGTTTGTCGGTGTTTCAGTTATGTAACTGTGTGTCAGCTTGACGTGGGAGGAAATCCCGAAGTAATAAAATCACACATTTAATGTTGCTAAAACACGTGACTCTACACCACCCACTCATCCCCAAAATCCAGACCGCAATCCTATCCGTGAAGATCCTGGTTAGAATAGATCTTCAGCAACCCATGCTTGCTGTAAAAGGCGACAATGCTTGTGGTAAGAGGCGACTAACGGGATCGGGTGGTCAGTCTCGCTGACTTGGTTGATGCATGTCATCGATCCCAATTGCGTGGATCGATGCTCATAATGTCAATCATTGGATTGTCTGGTCCACACTCGATTATTTACAGATCATGTAGTTGGGATATTGCGGACTCCGGCGTTAAACACCAAACACACAAACAAACAAACACAAAATTCCCACCCATATCAAACGGTCGATACCAATGTTGATACTTGTATGCACGACTTGGCTTTTCTGTCTCAGGAAAATGCGGCAAAAAGAAAGAGCCGAAAGGACGCGTGGCTCCAGTTATAGAGCCGAAGACAGAACCTATGCCAACAGCTGTGGAGACGTCCTCTACTGATGCCGAAAAGCCTTCTGTCAGGTTTGCCGACTAAATATGTCTAGATGTGTCATTAATACCTGTGTTGTGGCGTCCTCTTAACAATTGTGCAGACTTCGTACTTGGAGAAGACCAGGACAGCATTGAAATCAGACATTGGATTGAAGGCCATCATTGACTCATCGCTGATCCACATGTTCACTAACGCATATGCCTCATTACATACGTTGTCCTTGCTGTGGGGTCTTGGAGCATATATGCTTTATGTGTCTGAATGTGTCAATATATGCTGACAATGCTGTGTTTGATTAACACATTCGCCGCTGTGCCTGATTAACATGTGTTCTGTTTGGTCTTCAAGTATTCATGTTATATGTGTCTGAATGTGTCATTTTATGCTGAAGATGTTCTGTACTCATGTCGTACTAATTTGTTCCTATGGATACACCCACAAGAATGATTTGACAAAAGGGAAATATTGAATATTATTGAACAAATGTATGGTGCTTCCAGATTTTTGTGATATTCATCCTACAATGACTGAGTATAGTAACGTATGCTTGGTTAATGCATCTCCGCGTGTTGGGACTTGCGGCCCTTCTCTGTGCCAGGATCCGCTGTCTGTGACGGATTATGGTCCTTGGCTTGCCAGCACCATCACAGCGTCCGGTGATGTTAAGAAAGCAATAAAACGCCTACAAACTGCCCCAAAGTCCTGTCACCTTCGCACTCAATGTATAACTGAAATAATGTTTAATACGTCGTCGAAGCCAACTCACTCACTGATCGATGGGACGTTATTGTTTTTGTGTTACAATAATAATTCAACATACTTTTTATTTTGATGACATTGTCTATGACTTCCTTGTGTCACAATCGTTCATGTGATGTTATATGTGTGTGCATGGGGGTGTTCCCTAATCATAAACTGTGATAATGTTATATTTCTATAGCTGCAGCGTTCATTGATTTCTGCGAAAATGCGCTGAATATGATAGCCTCTTATGCTTATAATCAGTTATCATGATCTAGCATGTTGTATATGTGATTGCTTATTAAAGCTTCTTGCGTATATTGTACATATAATAGGATATATGGTTCCAGGAAATATAAATATGCACTGTTAATGCACACCTTGTATAAATTTGCACTTAACTTAACAAAGCTATTTAAATCAGTTAGATCTAGAGTAGTCGACATTTCATTTCCATACACATTAGGTTACCTGCACACCCAGGAGTTTGACGGGGCAACTAATTGAACCACATTTGTCTTTAGTCATGGGAATAGCCAGGTGAGCTAAATGATTTCCTATCACCAGTGGTCCACCACACGTGCTGTTCGACACACACCACTGGTTAGTTATTCACACACTATCATTACACGCATGGCATGCTGGGTCCGTGGGTAGTGGGCGTGCATGTGTGTGCACACCTTCAGGCGTGCGCATAACACTTAAAACAGTACGCTGCACTTTCACATTTGTATATATATACAGCAAAACAATATAAGCGAAAGAAAGCACATACACACACGCACGCACGCACACACACACACACACACACACACACACACACACACACACAAACACGCATAACACGCGCGCGTAAGCCTATATAAGAACGCACCAGAGAAGGTACATTTCTTTCTTTCTTTCTTTCTTTCTTTCTTTCTTTCTTTCTTTCTTTATGGTTGGTTGGTTGGTTGGTTGGTTGGTTGGTCCGTGGGAACTCCGGAAAACATCCGATCGCCACCAACCTACGCCTGTCGTAAGAGGCGTGAAAATGGATCAGACTCTATACACAACTGGCTCCTATTCCTGTTTCCGGCCGCTCTACACAGCACCATAAAACGTTACACAGCACCATGAAACCTTACACAGCACCATGAAACGTTACTCAGTACCATGAAACGTTACACAGTACCATGAAACCTTACACAGCACCATGAAACGTCACACACAGCACCATGAAAGGTTACACAGCACCATGAAACGTTACACAGCACCATGGAGCTTGTACATAGCACTGCGCAGCATGTACATTACATTCCGAGTCAGGAGCAGGATGCTATTGCTCTCATACTTGCACTAATATATATCACTCACTCATCATATATATGCATGTCATGTATTGTAGAACCCGCCCCCAATGGTCAGCTGTCTCCAGACAGGATGTGCACGTCAATGTGAATAATCATATAAATAAGGAGCACAACAAGATGAGGTATATAAAGTCACTGTGTGTCCGCTTCTGTCACCTGTAGCGTGTGATTAGTTACAGCGTGCATGTGTGTCTGCCCATACTGTGTCCTTCATATCACCAGAAATGCATATATACAGAAATCATACCTTTTGGTGTGGTGTACAGCGATGTGTGATTAAATACACCAGGTAATGTCAACATAATGTAAGTCGTATCACCAGTATATGCATAGAAACAGAAATCATACCTTTTCGTGTGATATACAGTGATGTGTGATTAAATAACCATATAATGTCAACATAATGTAAGACGTATAACCAGAATATGCCTATGTACAGAAATCATACCTTTTCGTGTGGTGTACAGCGATGTGTGATTAAATACTTCAGGTAATGTCAACTAATGTAAGTCGTATCACCAGAATATGCATAGAAACAGAAATCATACCTTTTCGTGTGGTGTACAGTGATTAAAGATTAAATAACCATATAATGTCAACATAATGTAAGTCGTATCACCAGAATATGCATAGAAACAGAAATCATACCTTTTCGTGTGGTGTACAGTGATGTATGATTAAATACACTATGTAATGTCATCATATTGTTAGTCGTATCACCAGAATATGCCTATATACAGAAATCATACCTTTTCGTGTGGTGTGCAGTACTGTATGATGAAATATCCAGGTTAGAAGAGTTTTGCCTTTATGTATCACAGTTAGCAGTACACCTAATATATATGTACATACATATACACGAATTACCTATTCTGAAAATAAATGTCATGTTCATTGTCTATATGCATATCGTGTGAGCTCGGATAACTAACACCTTTAGAAGCCCTGGTCAACAGGGAGGCCATTGACAGTACTTCCCGGTTTTGTATGCAAGACGTTCCTCAACCATTCGTAAATACATACAGCTTTGTAACGAAAGTATGCCAATAAACGCTTAGATGACAGCAGCCAAATGGGAATGTTGGTTCAACGGGATCGGGTGGTCAGCCTCACTGACCCAGTTGATGCATGTCATCGTATCCCAATTGCGTGGATTGATGCACATGATGTCAATCACTGGATTGTCTGGTCTGACTCGTTTATTTACAGACCGCCGTTGGGCGGTCGGGTAGCCCAGTGGTTAAAGCGTTCGCTCGTCACGCCGAAGACCCGGGTTCGATTCCCGACATGGATACAATGTGTGAAGCCCATTTCTGGTGTCCCCCGCCGTGATATTGCTGGAATATTGCTAAAAGCGGCGTAAAACAATACTCACTCACTCACTACAGACCGCCGTTATATAACTGGAATATTGCTGAGTGCAGCGTTAGGTAACAAAGAAACAAAACGTGACTAGACAAAGAAAAGCGCCAGTATTACCCCGCATGGCAGTATGCGTTCTATGGGGTTCAATGGGAGGAAGGTCGTGCATACACGCCGTGAAGTATTGACGATGCTAGAAACCATATTGCGTGACAGCCTCTTATACAGTACATTGTAGACAAAACGTTCATGTTCTGGGCATACTGTACCACCATATAGTGATGGTAACCTGGGCCCTGGTGACTCCATGTGAATAATATATAATATATAATATAAAATATATAATATTTGTATGCCACACACCTGCAGTCAAGATCCGGCATGAATTAGGTCTATAGCAACCCATGCTTGCCGTACGAGACGACTATGCTTGTCGTAAGAGGTGACTAACGGGATCCGGTGGTCAGGCTCGCTGACTTGGTTGATGCATGTCATCGTATCCCAATTGCGTGGATCGAAGCTCATGATGTCAATCATTGGACTGTCTGGTCCAGACTCGATATTTACAGACCGCCGTCATATAGCTGGAAAATTGTTGAGTACGGCGATAAACCACAAACAAACAAAAGCAATCTGGGTAGAAAAACTCACGAAAATGCATTTTTTAGTGCCTTGCGTTTTAGAGCGAATTTGGTACACAGAGTGCTCTGTCATGCAGTATGTAGATTCGTAGATTAGAGATGTACTATCTGTCTTAGATGCTAGAATAGAAATTCTTGTGTGGTGTGTTCTTTCCTAATGTCTATATATCTGATGATATACCCTTATCTGTTTTAACATACTGTACAGCATTGTACTCCTTCAAGTGTTATGATAACCATATGAATCATTCAAACTATGTATGTTTGTCACTTAATGAGGAACGATTAGATGTTGAAGCCTTCTCTATTAACGACAGCCCCCTTGAAGATCTGGATAGGGCAACCCATGCTTGCCGTAAAAGGCGACTACGCTTGTCGTAAGAAGCGACTAACGGGATCGGGTGGTCAGGCTCGTTGACTAAGTTGATGCATGTCATCGTATCCAAATTGCGTTAATCGATGCTCATGATGTCAATCACCGGATTGTATGGTCCAGACTCGATTATGCATCACTTCGGGCTTTCCTCCCTAATTAAGCTGACACGCCGTGATATAACTGGAATAATGTTAAAAGCGGCGTTAAACCCGCCTCACTCACTCACTCCATATGTGTCTTGGTATCTTACGATGTATATGTGATCATCACAGAATTACTATATAGATACTTAGATAAATATATCTTGTCATAAATATATTCTTGTCATTACTATTAGTTTGAGTTTGGGAACGTTTGTGTCTGTTTGTATTGTCATCCCTGTTAACAAGAATGTATATAGGCAGAAATATTGCAATTCGAGTGTACAGTCCAATGTTTTTAAAATTTATCAACACACATCACTGAATACGTCCTGATAATACGAACAAATCAAGTTTGTTAAACGTATTCAGGGTTGTGTTTAAAAAAAATATAAATATATATTTGTTAAAAAATGTTATGTAATGTGTACTAACACCCTGTCTCCACCTCTATGTTCTGTTTCCTTGAAATTCAAATAATTTATACTCTCTGGTGTTCCCTATTCGGTTATAGTATCATATTAATTAGTAGATACAAAACTGAGAAAACATGTTATATTTCAGCAGGGACTAAAAATCTAAAAACTGCTGACTAATGTTTGGATCAGAAAAATTGTTAAAATGACCATAGATTTTATTAAAATGTCCATGCTTACGTCTGGATGTATGAATTCTGTTCACACGTGGAAGTAATTGTTTGTTTGATTGAAAAGAAATAGCTTGGTTGGTTTCAAAAGTAGGGTTTGTTTGGTATTTACGGAACCTGGTTAATTCGAGACCAAACTAATTTTTGTATAACACCTAAAAAAAGTGTATTATGGTTATGATGGCTGCAGAGCATGACTAGCCCCAAGTTTTAAGTGAATTATTGTGTGTTATATCATCTGCCATTGTCCTATAATAGCTGAGGGCATGAAACGAACAGCAGCAGCATCGTGTTTAAAATATAGCATTGTTTCTCGGTTTTCTTCTTCTGTGTAACACTTGCATGTTTATATATCCCATACATGTCTATATGTAAATATATATGTTGAGTCAGGATCTCTTTTAATTGCAGCAGTTTTAGAAATGTAGTATGCTATTGCCCTTATAAATGCAATGAAATCTCTTTAACCGAAGTCACAACTTAGATATCGAGTTATCCGTTTTTCGAAATAAGCGAGTATGAGTTATAGGAGACTATTATGCAGATGAATTCTCCTGGGACGTATAGTTAGTTTGTCTTAAACGATATATCGGTATATCAGTAGTTCGAGACAAAATATAACTGTAAATACAGTGGACAATTCTGTAGGTCCTTCAGTGGCACTACAATTGTATCGACCTAAACGATATATACATGTGTGTTAACACTGTTCACGTTAAGGACAGTTTATTGTACATATATTGTGTTCTTTCGTGAACATGTTCTTTTCCTAAAGAGCAAATCACAAGAATAGTAGTGTGTTATTGGTATGACGTCATAGTTGATGACGCGGTTGGGTAGCCAAGTTGTCAAGGTGGTCTCGTCACAATAAAGGCCGGGTTTGCTTCCAAACATGGTTACCCCTTATGGAGGACTTTGTAGATGTAAAGGGTATGGTGTGATATGGCTGAACGAGAGATCCACATTTGACTTAACGTTACTATACTAGTATTTAAGGTCACGTTATGTATGTCTGTAAATATATGTACATACGGCATTTCTGTATTACGCGTATGAGACGTCTTTGTAACTATTTTTTGTACGCTCATTATGTTGTGGGCAACGGCAATTTTTAAAAAAACACACAATATTTATTAGCATATTTTGTTGCACCAAAACATAATTTCGCAGCAGAGGTGGAGTCGTCAGAGTTGCGTCCCTTGGGCACGCCAGAAACCTATGATTATGGGTTCGAATCCCGGTTCGCCCCTGTTATGTTTCTAGGTTTGTCAGCACCATGCCCGTGCTCGTTGGTTTAACTGAAGTGGTAAACGTCTTAGATCTGTATCACTTCGGGCTTTCCTCCCACGCCAAGCTGACACGCCGTGATATAACTGGAATACTGTTAAAAGCGGTTAAAATCCAACTCACTCACTCACTCACAACATATGTCGGGCAGCTCACCGCACGGGACTCGTATATGTTTCGGTGTCGTGTGTCATTTGGGTCATGTGATATTTTGAATCTCATAACGGAAATCTTTATTTTTTTATTTTATTGTTTTGTTTTTAATTTCATAATGCAAATATATATTGTTATCAAATTAAATAAAATAATCTTTGATGATGTTTTTCTTTTTTCCGTTTTTAAGTGATGTGAGTATATAGCGTCTGTCGCTGTCTGTCACATTTGGTACGGGATAAATAATAGAGACTATATACATGAGTCCTAGATGGTCCAGTGTATATTTGTCCAGTATCTCCGCTTGATATTATAATATTGCCTGGGCCCATTCGCTTCCAAAGTTTTTCTTATCCCGATTGTAATTACACGAAACGAAGCTATGATGAATATGTCCGGGATTATTACCACACTAGAATGGAGATAACAAACGCAATATAAACCTTATAAGATACTGACACAGAAACCCAATCGCCGATCACCATGACAACTGAGGTAAGTATGCAAACTCTGGCGTTCACAGTGACCAGGTATTCGTTATTTCCATACTTGATTATTATGTGTAAATTAATTTCAGTGTTGAAGATGAAACCTCTGCAAATGGAACAATTCCAAACGGAGCTCCGGCTGGGGGTCCGATAATGTAAGTGATAATTTGGGAATATGCTCAGTAAATTTAGAAACGCAACAATTTGATGTCTTTATGCCTATTTTCAGCGAATGGGTTTTAGGTTCAATGAAGGGACGATTGCAAGCGTCTACAAGCCTCCATCTTTAATCTTGTTTGATGTCTGTGTTTCCATAGCAACCGAAGCTAGACATGCATGGTTTTTTTCATAAGTGGCATGTATGTGATGGGCGTTGCGTAACGTTAATGTTTTGTTTTTATACATTATAATCTAAGTGCTTATTGAAGTGTACAGTTATTTGACGCTATGGGTATCATTTGGTTTTGCGGTTCGAGTCTATTATTTGTCATTGAATACAAATGCTCTATGTATTCCAGAGGGCATGGGTGGCCATGTAGGTTAAGGCGGTGCAGAGTTGCGTTCCTTAGGCGCACCAGGAACTTATGACCACGGGTTCGAATCCCGTTTTGCCCTGATACCACTAAGGGCTTGTCAGCACCACACACGTGGGTTTCGTTAAAAGTCTTTGACCCATATCATTTCAGACACGCCGTGATATAACTGAAATAGTGTTCAAAGCGGCGTTAAACCCAACTCACTCATTCACTCACTCACTCACTCCTGCTACATTAAGCTGACACGCCGTGGTATTACTGATATACTGTTAAAAGTAGCGTTAAACCCAACTCACTCACTCCCCCCGTATCAAGCTGACACGCCGTGATTTAACTGATATACTGTTTAAAGCAGCGATAAACGCAACTCACTCACTCACTCCCACATCAAGCTGACACGCCGTGATATAACTGAAATACTGTTCAAAGCAGCGTTAACCCCAACTCACTCACTCACTCACTCACTTCAAGCTGACACGCCGTGATATAACTGAAATACTGTTCAAAGCAGAGTAAAAGCCCACTCAATCACTCACTCCAAACTGACACGCCGTGGTATAACTGAAATAATGTTGAAAGCACTGCTAAACCACATTTCGTCTGATGACGTATTTTCATGTATTTGGCGGAATAACCATTTCAGATCAATAAAGGACCCAGATGATACTCCGAGAGCACATCACTTACCTCCTTTACATTATGGCGGCGGTGGCAACGGCGAGGAGGATGCAGAAGAAAGGAGGAAGAGGAGAAGGAAAAAGAGAAGGAAGCGTCAGGATGAAGGGGAGACAACCGAGCAGCCCAAATCAGACACCATAGATGAAGAAGAGGAATGAGAAGACGCACAAAGACACACGACTTGTGATAAACTTCTCTCTAACCAAATACCATGTAGCTGCGGCTGTGATATAGGTGTATTCCAGATGACGTTGGACTGGAGTATCAGAATCAACGACATACGATGTAATTGCTGTTATTTATTGTCGTCTTCTCTAAGAAGGATCTCTTCTGACCAAACACATATCTGAAGCAGTTACTTGATATCAGTGCCTTCCGTCCAAACGATTAACCTTGATGTGCATATTCTGTGACCATTGGTTACATGTGAAACCAGACTTCTGACATTGTGGCGTTCTGACATTCTGATGGCGTCTGACAATATGACCATGTGACTTTAAAGATGGCAGATGGGAAGAAGTGTCTTTAAGATCCTGCATCCAATACATGTACACACTTATGACACGATTTCCGTTACCTTGACTACACAACTGGATATCATGATCTCAGACTGTTGATGATGATGTTGAATGATATCATGGTGCAAGACGCTGTTACAGGTGTTGTGATATTAAAGACTTAAACTGCGTTAACACAGTGCCAGTCATGACCCAGTCAGTGCTATATACAAGGACAATGAGTTGCCTTTGTTCATTAATGGCGTGTATATACAGGCAGGGGAAATGTTTAACATGTAACTACGTACCTCGGTGAAATGTTATACACTGGATGTCATCAACAAGGTCCAGTGTTGAAATTGAAATTTTAAAAGTTAAAATTGCTGTTAGTTTTATTATGGTTTAATCTTTCATTTGTATACATAATGTGACGTGTAGGAGTGTAGAGAAATTATGTTTATGTCATCATCGACGAAATCCATTTACATTTTTTTCATCGTTAAGTCCTCCGCTATAGGTCCTTCGCTATTATTGTTAATTTAATGAGAACTGCCTTGTCACGGATCATGTACGTGCATACCCAAATGTGCCTTTGACTCAATGAAGGCTTAAAGTATACTAGACATAAGCTCACTATAAGCCTTCAGTATGTGTCGATTATATGTGCACTTGCATTGCACTTCAGAGTAGACTATTAAACTGTGTTCTTCATGCGCCTTGAGTAGAGCAGTCTTTTTGAAAGGTGACCTGCCAACGCCCTGTTTTGATTTTGAAAAATTGACTTACTTTGCATGTGTTTGTGACGGGTGCCACCGGTGGGGCAGGATCCGCTCACCCTTTCGCGAACACCTCGTGTCATCACTATTTGATAGTAATTCATGAACACATGCTCATGATATAGTTGGAAACGTTCTATCGACTCTGCTTTATGCAGAGATTTCTATTGGATATGGAAAGGGTTTCGTTCCCTCATCTTATTATCATTAATATACGGAATTGTGGAGGCGAACTAAACACGATGTTTTGACATAGATATTTGGGTTATAACACACATTTCTGCAATATTTATCACATAATAACAACCATGGCCAAAACATATGGACCTTTGCAGCAATGGGAGACAACACTCTTTCCATGATTGGAATCAACCTTGAATGAAAGCGCATTCCTATTTTTCAAATCTGTTGACTGATCGATACTTTTAAACGACGTTCCTTCAAGAATATTTCCAGATTTATGCGTTCATAAGCCTAGAATCCACATGCCCTCTGTTTGAATCTAAGGTTTACCTAGAGATCATCAGAGGCCTGTCAGCACCACACCAAAGTGAAACAAACTTCAATCTGCTCTTACGTTCTTCTGTGATACAAAAAATGCTCTGTTCAAAGCAGCGTTTAGCCAACCTACTTATTGTGTGATCTCAGTGTGATCGTTCCGTCCAAAGATAATGTCCATACCCAATTGGGCGTGTCACTTTCTGTGTTACTCGTTTATAAAGGCAGTAGCATAACTCGCAATGATGTTTGTATACATACTTGCGCTTCTCTCTCTTCTTCCATGCGTTTGTTAATGTGATTTGCCAACGTCTTCACATCCTTGTAATATAAAGTAGCGGTTTAATTTCATTCTTAATGTCTGCCAATAGAATAAAACCTTGATGTTATATTAGAACTGTATTTATTAGTTTTTCCAGGAACGCGTATTTTTAGAAATATATTAAACAACAATGAATAATTATTTAATAACTGTTTAACATTGTAATTTTACTGTGATTTACAGTACAATTTTTTTTAAATTCAAGGGGGTACGGGTGTCCCAGTCGTCTAAGGAGCCGCGATTCGCTGTGCAGAGTTGCTTCTCTTGGGCATACCAGAAACCTATGATTGTGGGTTCGATTCCCGGTTCACCCCGATCATGTTTCTAGGTTTGTCAGCACCTTACCCGTCCTCGTGGGTTTCACCGAATCGGTAAACGTCTAAGACCTGCATCACTTCGGGCTTTCCTCCCACATTAAGCTGACACGCCGTGATATAACTGGAATAATGTTAAAAGCGGCGTTAAACCTAACTCACCCACTCACTCAAAGATTCAAACGACAGTAATATTTCGTTAGGCATTTGATCTAAGTATGTATTTTGGAATTGTGACAAGTTTTTTTTCCTTTATAGACATGCCCATATAGTAGCAGATAATTTGAATACGCATAAGAATGAACTATATATTTCTATATTTTTATTTGCTTCGCATTGTGATGGTAGAAAACGCGATAGCGTTGTGAATTTGAATGTTGGATACATATTTTATGTATAGTATTTATTGAAATGATGCATTTTCTATGTTGTGAAATATATAAAATGCGTACAATATCATCACTGTTTATCTTGTGTTGCTCTTCGGTAGAGAAGCCTTGGGGATGCGTTATCGGGCCATCAACACAAGAGAGGCCTGTCAAGAGTTATCGGCCTTGCGTATGGCACATTCAGTCATAAATCTATTATGTCCATACAGTGATGACCTTTTGGTTCTGAAGAAAATGCTTATGTATTGTTTCTTTGCATACAATAAATGTATTGTTACAATGAGTGGAGAACATAGCAGCCAGAATAGTTACTCACTCTCACCAGACTGACCACATCAACTCCAGTGTTATACAAACTGCATTGACTTCCAGTTGAACACAAAATAAAAATCAAGATTCTCTGTTAGGTCTCCAGATGTCACACGGGACAAGCACCATCCTATCTCGATGATCTTCTTCATATGTATATCCTGCATTGACTTCCAGTTGAACACAAAATAAAATTCAAGATTCCATGTTTGGTATTCAGATTTCACACGGGACAAGCACCATCCTATCTTGCTGATCTTCATGTGTATGTACCAGGAAGATCACTCCTCTCAGAGAATAAGAATTTGCTCATCATACCAAATGTGATATCACACAATGGCAAACGTTCCTTGCATACTCGGCGGTCATTGCCCGGAACAGTCTACCAACATAGTTATAATAACTAATAATAAAATCAAAACGTATTCGACGGAATAAAATACTTGAATAGCGGACCGGGGTAGAATAGGTCTTCAGCAACCCATGCTTGCTGTAAAAAGCGACTAACGGGATCGGGTGGTCAGGCTCGCTGACTTGGTTGATGCATGTCATCGATCCCAATTGCGTGGATCGATGCTCATGATATTAATCACTGGATTGTCTGGTCCAGACTCGATTATTTACAGACCGCCGTCATATAGCTGGAATATTGCTGAGTGCGGCGTTAAACAACAAACCATCCAACCAACCAACTTGAATAGCGACGCCTTCCCTACCCGCTCGGGAGGCCAGTTGTTTTACCGCAACTCTTACACCCACTTACAGTGTCATATATTCTTATAATACACTATCATTGAATAAAATAAGCAATTAATAGAAAAACGTCAAAATAATAATAAAAAGCAATTTCTTTTCATCACACGCAGTGTGTTTAAATCATATCTGCATGTAAAATGAAAGATTTTACAGACGTTTCTTTCACTCAATTGCTCCCATCAGGAGGAAGTGCAAATGGTGTGAGGTGGGATGAAATGGCGATTAACGTCGCGTTCAAGATACAGCACTTGTTTAGCGACGAGCATGCACGTGTGTGTGGCTAAGTGTACGACTTCAGACCTATGCCGGTTTATATAGCTAGCTTCCCTGCCGTGAATACCAAACCGCAGTGTAACATGGATAGACCCTCAGGCACTCCAGAGTCGAACGTCATGCATGGTAACAAGAAGTACCATCTTTTAACTTCTTTTAGTGCGGGCGAGCCACCGACCTTCCTCTCCCCAGCCCTGTGTAACAGTGACGGGTTTGTAATTATAACCATTCATTAACGAACAGGTAATTGCGTATGACTTTGAAGCGTTCATGGAAGCATGTTGAACGCCACAAGAACGTAGACTGGGTACCCGTGAAGATCCGGGGGAGAATAGGTCTTCAGCAACCCATGCATGCCGTAAAAGGCGACTATGTTTGTTGTAAGAGGCGACTCACGGGATTGGATGGTCAGGCTCACTGACTAGGTTGATGCATGTCATCGTATCCCCATTGCGTGGATCGATGCTCATGATGTCAATCACTGGATTGTCTGGTCCAGGCTGGATTATTTACAGACTGCCGTCATATAGCTGGAATATTCTTGAGTGCGGCGTTAAACAACAAACCAACAAACAAACAAACAAACATAGAATGGAAATAACCAAGCTGCTTAATCGATGTCGTGGTACAGTAAACTACGGTTATAACGAACTCAAAGGGACCACTTCTTTTAAGTCGATATATACGTTGTTCGGTATGAGCAAATGTACAGCATATATACAGCAAATGTCGGGATCAAGAAATAGTTCGTTATATCCGTTAGTTCTTTATAAGCGTGTTCGTTATAAACATAGTTTACTAAATTTGTGATCCTTCAACGACGCATCGCAAGATTTGCTTGCTATTGATGCATCCAAACCAACTTTGTATATTTTACTTTGAATTGGCTTAATCTCCTAGATTGGACAGGCGACTATGCTTGTCGTAAAAGGCGACTAACGGGATCGGGTGGTCAGGCTCGCTGACTTGGTTGATACATGTCATCGATCCCAATTGCGTGGATCGATGCTCATGAAATCAATCACTGGATTGTCTGGTCCAGACTCGATTATTTACAGACCGCTGTCATATAGCTGGAATATTGCCGAGTGCGGCGTTAAAGAACCAACCAACCAACCAACCAACCTAGATTGGACAAATGCAGTTGAAATCCCGGCAACACAAACCACCCTGAAAACACGCCCTCTAAATGAAAGGCAAGTCGCCTTACTCAAATGGGGATTATGTTATGACATAGGAAACAATTATTCGAATCTAAATGCGATAGTACTTCATGGAATCAGCGTAGATTAATCACAGTACGTTACCAAGCCCCATGTGTTTTATATTCCGGTAAATAGAGATATTATTAGGTGTGAAAATATCGGCAGAAAATATCAAATTTCAACGCAAGAAAATAATCAACTCAACTCTCCAAACAGTACCCATTAGGTATAAACGGCTAATAGTGGTGAAAACCATAAGAATGGGTCACTGAAAATCAGTGACACCAAGTTTGATTCAGACATATTTTATTCACAAGGAAATAGTTAAATTTTCGTTGCGTTTATTTTAATTCCTGCATTCTGATTAGCTAAACTGGTCACGTGCTTTTGTATTCATTTCCCAATGAATGTAAAAAAATAAGCCACGCCCACCGAAGGGGACTACTTTTCTTCCTACAGAGTGTCTGGGAATCCCAATATTATAGTCCAAGGAGCAATGAAACAGCAAAGTGCAGACTCGCTCGCCTGTTTTTTTTATGTTATTAGGGCTCCAAGCCGAAAGGCTGTAAAGCCCTATTGTAATCGTTCGATTTATTATTAGGGCTCCCTGCCATCCTGGCAAGAGCCCTATTGTAATTGTTCGATTTATTATTATTATTTATTATTATTATTATTATTATTATTATTATTATTCCGCCGATTTTTGTTCCAATCCTACCTCCAAAACTACTGCTCAGAATCTCTTCAAAATTTCCACAAAGATAGCTTAGGTCCTGAAGCAGATACCACAAAAATCCCAAGACTCTAGACTCAAAGACTAAGGGCAGATAACTCAAAACAACTTTAAAAATCGCGATTTCAACAGCTAATA